CAATGCTAAGTACACGGAGATTTGATTCATTCTCCGCCATCTAAATTGCACACAATGTCTGCACTATGGCCATTTGTTGCTTGGGGTATGGATGTTATCTAACCAATTGAGCCAGCAGCATCCAATGGACACAGGTTCATTCTGGTGGCCATTGACTATTTCACTAAGTGGGTTGAAGCTAAAACTTTTAAATCTGTGACCAAGAGGGCAGTGGTCGATTTTGCTCATTCAAATATCATTTGTCGGTTCGGAATCCTAAAGGTGATCATCACAGATAATGGGGCTAATCTTAACAGTCATTTGATGAAAGAAGTGTGTCAACAGTTTAAGATCACGCATCGCAATTCCACCCCGTATCGCCCCAAGGTGAATGGAGCAGTCGAGGCAGCCAACAAGAACATAAAGAATATACTTCGAAAAATGGTGCAAGGTTCCAGGCAATGGCATGAGAAGTTGCCCTTTGCGTTGTTGGGTTATCGCACTATTGTTCGCATTTCAGTAGGTGCAACTCCTTATCTGTTGGTATATGGCACTGAGGTAGTGATACCCGTGGAAGTTGAAATTCCATCCCTTCGGATTGTTGCTGAAGCCGAGATTGATGATGATGAGTGGGTCAAAACTGTTTGGAGCAGTTGAGTTTGATTGACGAGAAAGGATTGGCAGCAGTGTGCCATGGCCAGTTGTATCAAAAGAGAATGGCGAGAGCATACAACAAGAAGGTGCGTCCGCGAAAATTTGAAGTGGGTCAACAAGTATTGAAACGCATCCTTCCAAATCAGGCTGAAGCAAAAGGCAAGTTCGCCCCAAAATTGCAATGGCCGTTCAGTGTAACAAGAGTGTTGTCCGATGGTGCTTTTTATTTAACAGAGATAGAAGGCAAATGTGTAGATATAGCTATCAATTCTGATGCAGTCAAAAGATATCATGTATGATTTCTTTGGTTTAAATTGTATTTGTTTGTAGTTGGCATGTTTTGAAGATTGGAATAACGAAGACATTTTGTTCTGCTATCCAAATACTTTATCCTTTGTTACCCCTTTGAGCTGTACCTATTTACTTTCATACCCCTCTTTTGGAATCAGTAGCAAAATTCAGAAACACGAGCGCAAAAGGTGAGTAAAGAAAAAAAAGAGAAAACAAAAGAGAAAAGAGAGAGAAAAGGATGGATAGAGTGAAAAAAAAATGAGAGAAAAGAAAAGGAAAATAAAAGAAAGCAAAGAAAAGGAAAAGAGAAAAAGAAAAGAAAAGAGAAAATCACAACAACAAAGTAATTCCTATGTCATGAACTACGTTCGACCTGATTCCTTGTAAGGATACGTAGGCAGCCTCACGGTTCGGTCCTATCAAAGTAAAATCCAGAAGTCCCCAAGCAAAGAAACTGGGGCAGAAAGTTGTGGTTGTTGTAAGAAATTTGATTCCAAGAGTTGTAATGTTTTTAAACCCATTAAAGTTGTTTTGAGCCTCTTGATATCCGTTCTTTCTAACCCTATCCAAAAGCCCACGTTACGGTCCAAAGAAAGACCTTCCGATTAGTTTTCGAGAGATGATAGGTCGAGCAAGCAGAGGTGATTTATACCAGGGGCAACACTCCGGTCTAAGCAGGAAAAAAAAATGAGAGAGTCTTATTGGTGAAAACCCTCACGAGCACTGTAAGGTGATGGAAAGCTGAGAGAAATTAAAAATGAGAGAGTCTTATTGGTGAAAACCCTCATGGGCACTATAGGGACAGCAAGTTGAGAGATGATTAAATGAGAGAGGTTTGTTGGTGAAAACCCTTCAGGGCACCGCGGATCGAACAAGGTCAATGATTTGGCGAAGAAATTAGGTTATGGAGATCCTGGGGCATAAGGTATGACAATTGAAAGGTGATTGGTTGAATTGGTTGGGTTGATTAATCTGAAATGCATGTCATGATCATTGGCGCCAGCTGTTCCACTCAGATAAGTCTCTTTTCCTTTTCCCCTCTCAAACAGTCATCCAGTTTTGGACCTTCTTTTACTCCTAACTCTCAAAGTCATTGCATTTCATTTCTTTTGGGTTATTTCTCTAAGGTTTTTCCAATGTCGGCCTTGTTTAAGAAAGTACGAAAGAATTTCAAATCTTACCACCAACTTCCAAATTGCACAAAGCAAAATGCAGCCAAAGCATACCAGAAATAGCATGATGCAAAAGTTGAAAGAATAAGGTGTTAGTGAAAGTTCAAACGGATGAATGGTTTTTGAATTTTGTGTGAGATACATAGGTTCAGGTAGAAGGGTCAGAAATGTAAAACAACGATTTGGGTGAAGAGCAATCAGGTCATCCAAGGTCATACGGTTGAGAGTCAGTCAAAAAGTCAAACGGTTCTTAGCCAGTTCAAGGCAGCTAGTCAAAGCAGGGCACAACAACGAGAGGATTATCGTCAACAAGAATGCCGCAAACTAACCACCACATTTTAAAACTGACAAGATTTTTCTTTGATTGAAACAGGGGCAGAAAATTCTGTTCGTTTCGGAGAAACCTTCTGTAAAGAAAGCAATGTATCGGACAGGTTCGATCATAAATTCTCAAGACCCACCTGGATAATGAGATTTAATTTGAAGTTCTCAGGACCCTCCTAGACAATTGAACCTAGTTTATAATTCAAAACATTCATGAGTAACAAGATCTAGCATAAGATTTACCTTGAGGAAATATAAGTTGGCTTTGAAGTTTTCATTCTTAGGATAGGATTCAATTCGAAATTTTTAGGACCCTCCTGAATAATGGGACTTAGATTTAAAACCTCCATTAGATAACAAGATTTAGCGTAAGTTCTACCGTAGGGAAATATAATTTAGCCTTAAAATCGTCACTCTTAAGATAAGATTTGATTTTAACTTTTAGGACCCTCCTAGATAATGGGATCTAGCTTTTTAATTCTTAGAGATATTGGGTAACACAATTCAGTTAACACTCACAGATGTGCCCAGCTACCAAACAGGGGCAGAAAATCTTCTTTGTTTTGTCTATTCTGTGGTAATCAAGAGCCCACCTGGAGAACAAAGGGAAAAGCAATTCAAGTGTTGGTAATCAGGAGCCCACCTGGAGAACAAAGGGAAAAGCAATTCAAGTGTTGGTAATCAGGAGCCCACCTGAAGAACAAAGAGAAGCAGTTCAAGTTTCAAAGAAAAACCGTGTAAGCATTGGCAATCAGGATCCCACCTGGAGAACAAAGGGATAAACAATTCAAGTGTTGGTAATCAGGAGCCCACCTGGAGAACAAAGGGAAAATAAATTCAATTGTTGGTAATCAGGAGTCCACCTGGAGAATAAAGGGAAAAACAATTCGAGTGTTGGTAATCAGGAGCCCACCTGGAGAACAAAGGGAAAAGCTATTCGAGTGTTGGTAATCAGGAGCCCACCTGGAGAATAAAGGGAAAAGCAATTCGAATGTTGGTAATCAGGAGCCCACCTGAAGAACAAAGGGAATCAGTTCAAGTTTCGAAGAAAAACCGTGTAAGCGTTGGCAATCAGGAGCCCACCTGGAGAACAAAGGCAAAAGCAATTCAAGTGTTGGTAATCAGGAGCCCACCTGGAGAACAAAGGCAAAAGCAATTCAAGTGTTGGTAATCAGGAGCCCACCTGGAGAACAAAAGGAAAAGCAATTTGAGTGTTGGTAATCAGGAGCCCACCTGGAGAACAAAGGGAAAAGCAATTTGAGTATTGGTAATCAGGAGCCCACCTGAAAAAACAAAGGGAAACATTTCAAGTTTCAAGGAAAAACCGTATAAGTGTTGGCAATCAGGAGCCCACCTGGAGAACAAAGGGAAACAAGCAATGTCCAAAGGAAGATGGTGCAAGTTCGGCAATCAGGTGCCCACCTGGAAAACAAAGGGAAAACAAGTCAAGTTTCGGGAAAAAGGAAGATAATTCAAATGTTGGTAATCAGGCGCCCGCCTGGAAAACAGAGGGAAAGCACCTCAAAATACAACTCAGGTCAGCAACAAAGGAATTTCACTTGGAGAGTACAAGTCAACAAAGCAACAGAAACTGCAAGACCAATAACCTAGAGAGTACAAGTCAACAGAGTAACAGAAACTGCAAGACCAAGTTTGAAGATATAGATAGGATTATTGTAATTTATAGGTCATAGTTTAGTCTAGCTTCTTTTATTTCGTCTTGGTGTAATAAGGAGTTCAGCAAGCAGTAACAACAGCAACAACAGTGAAATCACAGCTTCCTAGTAGTCCCAACTACCGAAACTTCCAGATCTACACCGACCTCATTCCTTTATAGCCAAGGATATGTAGGCAACCTCTGAAGCAAGGTTCGGTCAGGCTCTTTCAAAAATTCTTCTTATGGAGTTTCAAACGGACAAAAATCCCTCATAATTTCTCATTTTATCTTTGCCCAAAAACCCTTCGTGTCTCTAAGCAAAGAGGGGCAGCTGTGAGCACGTGACTTTTGCCCTATAAGAAGTACTCCCATAAAATATAAGAAAATAAGTTTTCCAATATTCGCAATTTTATAGGATTTTTCGTAGAAATTTTGTTAATTAGTTGCATCTTTGTGCATATTTAATTTCCATTAAAAAACAAAATACCAAAAATATAATGCATTTGCATTTAGGATTTATTTTTACATTTTTAGGTTAATTAGTAAATTAGTTGTTTTATAAAAATGAAAAATCACAAAATATTGCTCATTTTTAGCCTTTTAATATTAAACTAGTAATTTCTTCTTTTAATTTAGGAGTAATTAACTTTCATAAATATCTTAGTAGGTAATTAACTTAATTTTACAGCTTAGTTTAATTTAAGAGTCTAATTTAGTTTTTTTAATTAATTAAAAAGGGAGAAGAAAAACAAATGAAAAAGAAAGGAAAAGAGAATTAGGGCTGTTGTTTTTGGCCCAAATACTAAGGCCCAATTTTTTTATTAATCCGCCCCAGCCACTCGCCCGCCCGTCTGCCCCAAACCTGACCCGTTCCCAAATGCTAATAAATAAAAGATACACAGAACCCTAATCTCCAAGACCCAAATCGGCGCAAACACTGTTCTTCTTCTCCAAACAACCGAATCCATTCTCAAAAATTGCCAAAATTCAGGCGAGTGAAACCCAAACTCACATCACACATTTTATTTTCTCTCCTCTTGCCATAGCGTAACCGTTTCTGATAGATTCCCCCTCCCTCACATGCTTTCTTTGATTTTAGTTCGGATTTTTCACTCTTCAGATGAAAATAAGGAAAAATAGGGAGCGTTAGATTGGATTCGAGCTAATATACTCCCTCCATTTGTCCCTCTTTCATCAGAAACGGGGTAAGAAATCAGTTTGGGGGAGGATTTTTTGTTTAGAGGGGTTTTCGTGGAGAGAAAGAAAGAAGATACGAGAAGACCTGAAGGTCTATAAAAGGTGAGAACGTTTTCTTATTCTGGGGATTTCTTTTGGAGAATATTTGGGGAAAAGATTTGAGAGAGATTTCGGAAGAAAGTTAAAATTAGGTTTCGAGATTTTTCTTCTTCATTTTTTATTGTTCTTTTATTTCTGGTACTAGAATAGAAGAAAAAAAATCACTGAATGTTCTGCTATTTCATTTCTATGTCGATTATTGTTTAACATTTTTTGAAATCTCTAGAGTCCATCTTCTTTATTTTGATTCTAGATTTTGGTTTAAAAATGGAAGTCATTTGAGATGTTCGAGTCTGTTGCTGCTCGAGGGTTGATTTTCAGCTACTATTTGCTTTCTTTGGGTCGATTTCAGTGTTGTATTAATTCAGTCTCTTAATTCCAGGTTCATTTCTTTTCTTCTCTTTAGTTCCCGTTGTGAATCGATCTCTGAATGAACTATAAAATGGGGCTAAGTTTAAAGTAACAACTGAGATTTGTGTGGTTATCTTAGTTTCATTTTGCTGCTATGTTCTTATTGTTTTCAACTTCTTCCATGATTTCACATGTGTGCTAACGAATGTCCATATGATCTCTGGGCTTATAATTGGTTGGTTGTCGGTCGAATAAGTTTAAATGGCTTGTGTATTTGTGAATTTTCATGCTTGTTTGCGTACTAGGTGCCAATCAGTCGAGTTACGAGTAGTTTTCTTCATTCCTTAGTGCTGAAAATGTACAGACTATTTTGACACTGGATTTCCAATCAGTTTGCATTCTCTGTTTACTTGTACCTAGTCCCAGTGATTTGTTTTCACCTTTGAATAAGATTAGATCATCTCAGCTCTAAAACACTGATTTCTTTTAGTTAGATAGAGAAAACTTGATAGCTTTCCCCTTCTCTATAGATTCTGTGCAAATTGTTTTACTCAAGATGGGATTGAATTGGAGTTTTGTTGGTGCATTGCTGTCTTTGATAAGTTAGTTATCCATATAGCTTTACACTCGAAGGAGCATTGATATATTGAAGAGAAAATGGATCCATGAATTAAGTTTAGCGATTGATTCTTGGTTCCTTGTTCATTCTTAAAGCCACAGATTTCTTTTAGTGTCGAATGCATAGCTGATGAATGTTTGCTTGGATCTCGTACTACTGCAATGTTATCATGATGCGTTTTGTGCTTGGCTACTTGAATCTGCCTAACCTTGGTATAGCTTAAATGTGATGAGCCTTTAAAACAGGCCTACCTAGTCTCATTTAAAGTTTTCTGGCAAAATAAGTTCACTGCTCTTGTTTGATGTTTGTTCAAATTAAGGGAATCTGGATTCAAGTGTCGGAGTGTTTTTATAAAACTGGTGCAAACCTTCAATTGATGTGTTGTTTCTTATTTTTATGAGTTCATACCTAGGAATGATGATTGTCTATTAAGGGTTAGCAAGCCTAAGGTCTGTTACTAGAGGAAATACGGTGAGAGGGAGGGGTGATCGCATGAGCAACATTCTGGGATTAAGAATTTTTGGGTAAAGTTGAAAACCTTTGTGAAAAGTAAAGCACATATATGAAGTTTCTCTGCATTACTAGCTAGAAATCAGTAGTGGCTAATGGCAGTTAGTTTGGGCCGTGGAATTTGTTGTTTCGCTAATTTAAAATAAAGGATTTGGACCTTGTGATGTTGGACTTGAATGGGCCGCAACTACTTGAGTCTCGGGCTTCAGTATTTTGGCCAAAGGGTTTTGGGCACATGATAACTTGTTTATTCCATCCATATTTTATCCCTTTTTCCAACTTGCACATAAGTCGTGTTCCTCTCATATATTGTAGTTTAGCTAATTAAAAATCAGCGCTCGTTGAAAAGCCTTTAGGTGCGTTTAAAATACAATTGTGATTGTGTATACGTTCACATGACATAATTACAATTTAAAAACCAATTTGGAGTATGCGTTCATGCAACTTCGATCAATTTTTGCTTAATAATAATTGGTCTAATAAATCGCTAATTAATTTAGGATTATATAGTTCGAGGTGCACCATCCACAAGTCAATCATACATGTCCCTCGTATTAATTTCATAATTTAGATATAACAAATAACAAATGATCGTAGTTTGCTTTACGCACGTTTAATATATTATCGTGGTCGTGGACACGTTCGCGTGACATGGTTACTATTTTAAAAACAAAACCAGAGTATGCGTTCGCGCAACTTTGGTAAAACTTTTCTTAATAATAATAAAGCATTATTAATTATGGACACATTCGCATGACATGATTTCTGACGGGCCAAACAAATGGGTACACGTACGCGTGACCCGTTTCAAGATAATTTCTTAATTAAAAAAGGCAAATGCACATAGGTTCTAAAATGAGTAGTTAGACAATTTAATAATCCAGGTATAATCAAAGCAACCGTGCTAGAATCATGGAACTCGGGAATGCCTAACACCTTANTGTGCTTTCGTGCTTGTGGGGACAAACAAGTACGAATGTCTCCATGTACTAAAATATTATGTTGGATATGTAGTGTCATGCCGTTTTGTAAAATTTTATTTTAAATCCTATTGGCTAAATGACACTCAAGGTATATGTTATAAGATTTTATCAAAACTTATGTATTGACAAGAGTATACATATTTGAGTACTAAAGAAAAGTTTTCATGGAAAGTATTTCTTTTGGAAATTGATGTGCAGACTAGCCCTTGTGGTATCTTTTAAAGATTGATGTTAAATTGCAAAAGGCTTTAGCATGTAAAAGGTTGTTTATTTAGTTTTTGTTCAAATGATTTAGATTTTCTATAAATGCTATAATTTGATAAAAATAGATCCTTTGAAGCTACTATGCTGTGAATCTATTTTTTAAGTACCAAATGTTTTGGGAGTTACTTGTGTTCGCCGAGATTGACTTCGGATATATTGTGTTCGTCGTCATGAAACTACACATGCCGATGTAGGCGTAGATAGCCACTTTGTGGTATAGACTGTGGCAGAGTGCTCTCCCTCGAGAGAGTACTATGTTGTGCTATTATTAGCATGGTTGAGTCGATTCGTACGACACTACGATGAGACACTCTAAGCAAGTAGGGTATATGATACTTTCCGCTAGGTACATAACCTAGTTGACCTTCTTATGTCGGTAATGGTATGGTACTCCCAGTGAAAGGTAAGGATGATTTTCTTATGTTTAGGTCTAAGGATCCAAAAGTGATTTCAATGACTTAAAGCAAATGAAATAATTTTTTATGATTTTATAAAATCTTGGATTAGTGTAAGCATTTTAAAAGATTATATTGTGGGTTATATTTCACTTGGCTTTGGTTCAAAACCACAAGGGTCATGAATTGATAGAATTTCTTATCGTTTTATTTCAAATATTGGTGCATTATTTTTATAAAGTTTGTCCCAAGAACTTAAGTTAGCGAGAGTCTATGATACTTATTGAGTACCGTTGTAGTGTACTCATCCCTTAGGGGCCCCCTCTAGGGCCCTGCTTACTTTACATGTTTCAGGATGATGTATGATACATGGTATGTGGTCAGGCCAGGATGACTATCTTTCCAAGGTATTATGAAGCACCACTTTTATTTCGTGGTAGCTATCATGTTATTCCTTATTTTATTTTATTGGAACTTCTCCAACCGTTGGTTCTATTCTTTGGTATAGAGGCTCCATAGATAATTATGAAAGATTGTAGTAACGGGATTGTACACGACATTCATGAAAGTATATTTTACTTAGTCTCATTGTTATTATTATGAAAGGGCGTCATGTGTGATTTTGAATTGGAAAATATTTTATCATTTAACTTGAAAATGTATAAGATTTTCAAGGAGGTTCCGCAGTTAAATTTAGTTTTCATGCATATGATTTGGGTGCATCGCATGGTTTGGTTCGCTCAGGTCGGGTAGTGTGCCAGGTGCCGGTCACGTGGTTTTGGGTCGTGACAATTATTTTGGTATTTCCGATGTTACTTGCTGTTTTCTTCCCTTATTGTGATTGTAGTATCGTTAGCCATTTTGTGCAGTCTTTATATATACATCATGTTCCATTGTTCCTATATTTGTACAATTTATTGGACCGGTAGGTGTCTTGACTATTTCTCGTCACTACTCCACCGATGTTAGTCTTGATACTTACTTGGCAGCGCTGTGGTGTGCTCATGCTACTCTTTTGCACATTTTTGTTGTGCAGATCCAGATATCGATCATTAGTAGTTGTGCGGGTCATTGCTGAGGAGACTCAAGGTAAACCTGATGCTGCGTTCGCAGGCTTCAGAGTCACATTCTTACTTGTATTCAACTGTTTTCACTCTTTTTCGAATAGTTATACTTAGAAGTGGTAGCTAACTCTGTAGAGCTTATAACTTGTATTATTGGGTTTTGGGAATTATAAATTTTGTAGAGATTTCTGCTTCAAGACTATTACATTTCATTTATTATTGTGGTATCTCAGTATGAATTAGGCTTACCTAGTCCCTAAAACTAGGTGCCATCACGATACCCAAACGGAGGGAAAGTTGGGTCGTGACAACTAGCCATTTATAAATCTCTGAATCGTCAGATCATTGACGCGTGTACTATTTATTTAGGATAGAGGCAATTTTTCTTTTTCAAGATAAAACAAAGCTAAACGTATGCATAAGATGTGAAAATGGCGTGGGATAGCCACTATTTAAGGTGGTATTTATTTTTTATTCAATAATTCTAATGTTGAGCAAAAATAGCAACTACTCTATTAAAATTAATATGAAAAGACATTTTTACTCTTTCTTTCATAGAACCGGAGCCCTGACAATGGTTGTTTAGAGTTTGTTCGTTTTGTTTCAAAGGAAGATTGTCACACTAATGGCTTTCCGTCTCGTAGGGTAAGTTGGTTTCAGCCTAACTTTTGGTTTATCCTAAGGCTTGTTTGATCTCTATCTCAATTTTTGGGGGGATTTTTAAATTTTTGGTTTAGGTAGAAGACAAATGGTTGTTGTTGCTGGTAGGGCTTTGCTTGGAGCACCAACAACACAAATCAAGTTCAAAAGTTAAGGACATGTAGTCCTGAAGTTCTGAACTTAGAGTTCCAAGTTCAAAAGTTAAGGACATGTAGTCCTGAAGTTCTGAACTTAGAGTTCCAAGTTCAAAAGTTAAGGACATGTAGTCCTGAAGTCCTGAACTTAGACTAACAAACTCAAAAGTTAAGGACAATAGGTCCTAAACTTAGGCTAAGAAGCCCAAAAGTTAAGGACAATAAGTCCTGAACTTACAGTTACAAGTTCAAAAGTTAAGGACAATAGATCCTGAAGTCCTAAACTTAGACTAACAAGCTCAAAAGTTAAGGACAATAGATCCTGAACTTAGGCTAAGAAGCCCAAAAGTTAAGGACAATAGGTCCTGAACTTAGACTAACAAGCTCAAAAGTTAAGGACAATAGATCCTGAACTTAGGCTAAGAAGCCCAAAAGTTAAGGACAATAGGTCCTGAACTTAGACTAACAAGCTCAAAAGTTAAGGGCATTTGGTCTGAACTTACAGTTACAAGTTCAAAAGTTAAGGACATGTAGTCCTGAAGTCCTGAACTTAGAGTTCCAAATTCAAAAGTTAAGGACATGTAGTCCCGAAGTCCTAAACTTAGGGTTACAAGTTCAAAAGTTAAGGACATGTAATCCTGATGTCCTGAAGTTAAGTTCAAAAGTTAAGGACATGAGTAGAAGGGTAATTTTGTCTGAGAAGTTAAAGTTTATTAAAGCAGTGGCTAAAGACTAAAGACATTTTAAACAGTGGCTTAAAAGTAAATACATGTCTTATTAGTGGCTAACCGTGCACTTCCCCCACATAAGATCAACTCAGCTACTTCAATCAAAGTTCATGAAATTGGGAAGCTTTTACTGATATAGCCACTAAAATGCCTTTGGGCCATCGATGTTGAACTTGGCAGGAATGACATCAGGTAGCCAGTTTAAAGGGCTAATATTTAAAAATTAACCAGTACACCCTAAATTTTAGTTTTTCAGTTTAATTTTTAAGGACAAAAATCGCCTTAATTGTCCTGAAGTTAAAAATTTTAGTTTAAATTTTCAGGATAAAATAAGTACGGACTAATCTCTAAATAACATTGTAGACATCGAAATTTTAACGAATCAAGCCAAATCCTAAATTAAAGATACTGCAGGACTTTTGAAATCCTAGGAGTCTATTAGGGTTTCTTAGAGGTTACTCTACCCTAAACCCTAACTTACATCTATATAAAGGGATACATATTCCCTTGAAGAGGCATCTAAAAAATCCCATAAATCTTGGGATATTCACAAAGGGATCAAGACATAAAATAATGCCGTGATTAATAGATGTGCTTCTTGATAATCAAGTACTTCAAGAATAATATTTATACAATGATCGACTTTCACGGAGATTAAGTAATCCAGAGAGGTCCGTATCATCCTACGTTCGAGAATACACTGATCTAGCCCTCGAATCACGGGGAACAATTCAGAAGAAGAATCAAGGGAACAAACAGAATTGTACCCGCATCATTTTATCAATAAAATTATGTTTATATTGTGGTTGCAATTTATTTTTGTATCACATATAATTTGTTGCAAACAAGCATCCTCAAAATAGCTATTTGTGCACTTGCCCCGATGGACTTGTCACATCTATATTACAAAAATATTACATAGTGATTAATTATCGGACAAAGATTACTTTTATCCCGCGGCCAATATTATTTACATACGATAGCCGTAAAGTGTATAAAATCTATATATTTTTTGTATATAAAGTACAGAAATGTATATATATACAAAAAAAAATACAAAAATATACTTTTTCTTGGCTATTATTTTAAGAGCAGTTATACAGTATCACTTTCCCTTAATTATCCACACATGATGAATCAATATCGTCTTGTGATATAAGTAATTAAGTATGTTGTCTTATACACAAGCATGTTAAATAAAAGGAGTCCATTGCTCAAATGGTCACTCAACTATCCCAAATTATCACCTAAAGTCATTTTTCTTTCGTTTGTAACAACAAAGTCACTGAACTATGTCTATTGCACTCAGAAAGTCTCTCAACTAGATTTTTCAAATTCTGAATTGCCAAATACCTACTTTACCCTCTAAATTATAAGCACTTATCTTCTTTTTATTTTATTTTTTTATAATATTTTGATATTATGATTTTTTTCCTTTTTAATTTACATTATGAACTTACCTATAGAATGAATAAATAAATATTATTTATAAATTAGAAAAATCAAAAGTATTTAAGTATATATAATGCTGGAATAACAAAATAATGAGCATAGTAAAAATAATAATTAGAATAATTATTTAGTAATAGTGATTTTAGTATTACAACAAAAATTTAAAAATCTATTTGTCACACCTCCTTTTTCCGCCCCCGCGTGGGGACAAGGGAGTTTTTCCAATTAAAGGA